CTATCGATCTCTGCAGAGGATATTGTGCCCGAAATACAAAGGATTATGTTTATTCTGAGGAAGGGGAGGGGAGTTGTATTGTCCTCTAGATGCGGCAGATGTTATTTATTTTATGTAGAGTACCACACTACCCTACAGCAATCATAAAGATATTGCTCAGAAATAAAATCCTATTAGAAGATAGAACGCAATGTTTTGTGACATGCTGAATGATTATCCTCCGAGGAGGAAGAAGAATATGAAGCTCTTAAAAGCTATTCAGCCGAGAGAATGCACCTCGGTATTTGCCTCTTGGGATTTTTGTATTACATTATTCGTTGATTGCTCTACTGTGTGTGTCATGCCTTGGAGGTTACTGAGGGTTACACAGAGGAAATGAAACTGGCTGTTGCTTGAGGATTTATAGAAGACGTACGGGTGCAGGAAGTTGCGATCTGTTTAGTGGGCTTTAGACTAAATGCTGTTGACACACACAAACAGGATATACATCTCTGTACTATCATGTATATCCCGTTTCCTTGCTCATCCCTCCTCAAGCCTTTCTGCCCTTTTCTCTTGAGAAAATGTGTTAGAACAAGGGGGGGGAAAAACAAAACCTTATTGATCTGCTGCAGGATGTTCACTGAGCTTCTAAAACAATAAATAAGCTACGGATTTCATTGAGAATTCATGGATTTGCGATTTTGCTAAGTAGCAAATCTTTCACACAAAAGTTACATGGTCTTATTTACATGTATTAAATCAGTGGTTACATCATAGAACCCTTATAAACTGATCAGCCACAACTTTAAAACCACCTGCCTAATATTGTGTAGGTCCCTTCTCATGCTGCTAAAACAGCTCTGATACATTGAGGCATGGACTCCACATGTTCTGCGGTATATGGCACCAAGACATTAGTAGCAGATCCTTCAAAGGAACACCACAGTGTCAGGAATAAAAGCATGTATTACTGACACTATAGTGCTGGTGTGGCTGTTTAGGTGGCTGGCCCTGCTGTCATCGTCCTGAAAATGTGAATTTATTCACCATTTCTCCTTTGCCGCATTGGTCTGGCCGCGACTGACACTGCTCCATTACTAAAATCATTCATCTTGATTAAGAGGAAAACATTGGGAGGCTATTGTGCATGCACAACAAAAAGATGTGCTGCGCCAATTAGTATTTCCTCATAGAGATCATTAAATTAATGCAACTATATGAGGAACTGCCACGGCACCAGTGTAAACACACAACGTATATAGACACCAGAATCACTACATTAACCTGTGGTTGTTCTGGTGACTATATTGTCCCTTCAAATCCTTCAAGTTGCAAGGTGGGGCCTTCTTGGATCAGATTTGTTGTTCGAACCCGTTCGACACATCTGAGGAATTTGGAGGCCAAGGCGACACTTTGAACTCTTTGTCATGTTCCTCATGTTGTACATGGTCTGCAGCAATCTCTAGGTAGGTGATATGTGTCAAAGTAACATTCACATGATGCCAAGACCCAAGGTTTCCCAGCAGAACATTGAGTAGAGCTTAACACTGACTCTGCCGACCTGCCTTCTTCGCATAGTGCATCCTGCTGCCATCTCTTCCCCAGGTACATGACCTGTACATCCATCTGATCTAAAAAAAAAAAACAGTATTTATTGCACCAGACAAGCTTCTTCCATTGTTTCATGGCCCAGTTCTAATGCTCACGATCCCATTGAAGGCAGTTTTGGCAGTGGACAGGGATCAACATGAACACTCTGACCAGTCTGCGGCTATGCAGTCCCATACACAGCAAACTGTGATGCACAATGTGTTGTGGTCGGCATTACGTTTTCCAGCAATTTGAGCTACTTAACACTTCTGTGTGATCAGACCAGACTTTATTGCCTTCGCTCCCCACTTGCATCAATAAGCCTTGGGTGCCACAAGTTGACAGCTCAGGTTAGGGGCACTATGAAAAGGTCTAAGGCCCTTGGATAGATTGCCATTTGGGTGATTAAGAGTTGGGCGGGGTGGGCTCATTCCCTCACAGTACCACTCTTCGAGTAACCATCTAATGTTAGCAGCTGTAATCGCACTTTTCTCCCTTACGGAGGGGACTTGAAGGATTCCCCCCCTCCCTCCCAAGAGATGTACTTGGCAGTGTCTGCCCTATAGGAAATTAATGTTACAAACTTCTAGACACGCCTTGCCCCCGGCCGATTGGAATTGAAACAGTATCCCCTGCTGGCATCTCTGCACTCCACTCTCGTGCGGGATCCCCCCACCCCCATCCCTCTTTATCTCTTTCCTCTCCTCCCCCTTTTTATTTTTTCTATCCTTCCTCTACTTTTTATATGTATATACACTATCTCTATCACGATCGTTTCTTTTTCTCTTTTCTCCCTGATTGTCAATGGAAATTTGACCCATGCTTCCAATGGCACTTGACGATTGCTGTGCCGAGATTTAGCCATAGCGAAGATCATCGGTCTAGAAAGGTGTTTTTCCAATGTTGGGGCTTACAATGTGGGGTAAAGATTCTTAATGCCTGTGATCCTCAATGAGATATACTTTGATCATTTGGACCTAAGCACTGGAACAGTGGTTGCTTTTTCTTTATTCGGTCAGTTTCTATAGGTTCTATTTTAAAAACAAAATAAAACAAAAACCCTGGTGGAACACCACTGTTATAGAGATTTATAATGCGGAACTGAACTGTTTTGCCTGTTATTAATACGAATTACGACTGTGTTTCTACATATGTTTGTGCTCTATGTCATCGTGAATTTGTCACTGTTCACTGTATGTAAGTCTGTTTTGCTGCTTTTGTTATTATTTTGGTGTCTACTCCTGGAATAAATAAAGAATTTATTTTCTTTAACCCCTTAAGGACACATGACATGTGTGACATGTCATTATTCCCTTTTATTCCAGAAGTTTGGTCCTTACGGGGTTAAAAAGCCTTGGGCACCAATGACATTGATGCAGGTTTACCAGTTGTCCTTACTTGCACCACTCTTGGTAGGTACTAACCACTGCATATGGGGAACTCCCCACAAGACTTGCTGTTTTAGAGATGCTCTGACCCAGTCGTCAAGCCATCACTTTTTGTCCCTTATCAAAATCACTCAGATCTTTTCACTTGCCCATTTTTCCTGCTTCCAACACATGAAATTCAAGAACTGACTGTTCACTTGCTGCCCAATATATCCCATTCCTTGATAGGTATCACTGTAATAATATAACACTGTCATTATGTTTTTAATGTTGTGGCTTATCAGCGTATACATATGTGTCATGCCTTTTGGAGTAATTGATAAAACCTACTGGGCCACATTATTGAATTAATGTAGTCTGGTTAATCATGATGTACTGTGAAAAATATAAAGTTTGCTTTTATAATAAATCTCTGCGGCTCTCTCTAACCTTAATGGATTGCCGTCTCATTACTGAATCTCAGCTGCCTCCCCTGAATTTACAGACTTGTCTTCTCGTTGCCAAACTGCTCTTGCTTACCCTAGCATTGTATTCCCTGTTTGATCTTCACTCTCTAACACAAAACTAACATCTTTCTGCATCTAGTGAAAATGACTCAATCCTTTGGGCCTTGGCATGGGACATTATTGGAGATCCTGCTTGATCATGACTGATTTCTTCATCATAGTCAACTTGTAAATTAAGTTCAGAGGAATATGCAAAATGTCATGTTGCTGTGAAGGGCAGAGTAGCAATAAATTATACATAACATATTTAAGGGGAAACTAATTCCATTTGATAACACTTGGTTCTTTGATTTATGGGAATCAACATATAACGTGATCCCAGTAGGGAATGTTGAAAACATCTAACCTTAAGAACCTAAAAGCAGCTTATCAGATTGTAAGAAGCATGCAGTACTACTTTGTAATGAGACTGCCCAATATCTAGTCACAAGAGATATTTAAAATGCTGCCCGTACAAGATTGCATCTCAACCTCTTCAGAAGAATAGACCATGGGCCATTGATAAACTCACCGGCCACCGACAAAAGTTGCTCTAATGGTTGCACTTCACTGAGAATGACACTTTTCCCTCACAATAAGGGGCTGCTTCTACATGGATTTCATTGTATTCCAAAATTAAACATAGTTGACCTGGACCTCGCTAACGTAGTTTCAATGTAAAACAGACATAAACCTGATAAAAGCTAAAGCCTTTTATAGGACTTGCCTCGTGCAACTTAATAATTATGTCTAGATACCTAGAACCTTCTGTCTCCTGTAAATCTGGTATTGTTGGTTCTATCTGAAGTCATTAATATATAGTTTATGTTCAGATTGTCATTTAAAAGCAAGAAATAATTTTTTTTTTTTTTAATTAAAAACACTGAGTCCTTGATGGGTTAATTTTTTTTTTAATTTTTTTTTCTGGATTCTTGGGAATGTCACATTCAGCACCATCTTTGTTCTATTTACACAAAATAACGTCATAAAGAAGGAATGGAAAGGAAATAGAATCTAATAAAGATATTTTCCACTCCACGTAAAGCTAGCTGTGATTGGCCATTATAACTCCAAACAGATTCTACGCTGAGAAAATAAAACAAGATACAAATTCCCGAGTGTGTAAAGAAAGAATTTATGGGGCACAGGATGTTAGCGCAATGTTCTAGAAGTACGATCACTATATATATAAATTAAGAGAGTCACTTTTTCTTCTTTTTTGGGGGGCAGAGACATAGCTCCTAACTTTCCTGAACCAGTCCTGATATTGTCCCTGACTCACAGATTATTATTCTTGTCTCCCGCTTCCAATGTACTCCTCTAAAAGTGCAGTGCAATAATTATTTGAAGTATTTTAGAGGGTTCTTCACTAGAGTCTAAATGGCTGCATACCAAAAAAATCTAGAAAATGTTCAAGCTATTTAACAAATTCAGGGAAGGCTCAGAATAACAAAATAAGTGTATTAGCGCTTCAAGATGTCACCTTGTTGTACCCTCAACAAGTTAAAAATACATGCATGGAATAACACTTATAGTGTATACACAACAAGTGTGTGAATACACAATTATACTTCTCTAGAGTTGGACGGGAAATTTTCAAATAGAGATATAAAAATTAATAAGAACTGGAATCTGTAGAAAAAGGAATGCAAGCATACATAGTGTGATCCATAAAACACATATAGAGCTGCTTAATGCTATAAAAAGCACTCACAGAAGGGAAGCTGTGCCAGGCTCTATGTATCAAGCTCCAGGGTGCCACTACTAGCTTCGAATATTAGCCAGACAGGGTGAGGTAATTCTTCATCTATGTTTTATTATAGAAAATCTCCAAAATTTTTAAATAATTTAAAAAGGACTGTAAAAAGCAGTGTGTAAATACATACAACATATAGTAGAATACACTACCGCATAGAAATTCAGACGCGTTTTGACTGTTTGTAGTCTTCCTCAGTGCTGGAATTGATGTAAATGTCTCAATGTTCGGTGTTCAGAGATTTAAATATGGGACACCGACCATTGAGACCCATGAGAGTGATCATACCTTCATCCATATCCTCTAGTGGGGATTGGACCACTACCTGCTATCACCACCAGAGCTGGTATGATAACTCTAGTAAATGTGAGGGGCACTTACACACTTTATGTTGTATGTTATTCACTCTTTGTGTTACATACTACACTATCAGTATTCCCTTTGTTTCGCTTTTTTCTGCATATGCACCTTATGAGACCTGATTCCACCACATAGGATGTGAAATCACCAGAAGAACATTGGGGCTATTTATGATATATTTTATGCTTGTTTGTCTGTTGTTTTTGCATTTTATCATGGTTTGTCTGTTGCTTTTATATCTGTTCTTTATACTTTGTTGTTTTATCTAGGTGCAACCTGTATTCATATATCTTTATAAATGTTTAATGTCTTCCAATATTGTAGCAATTCTCCTACAGCTGTTTCGACAGATGCTTGGCTATTTCATTATGTTCCACACTCTCCTCTTATTCTAAAATAAGTAAAATTAGCATGAAGCTGTGTAATGGGCCTACTGGTTCTGATCTGCTGTCCCATATGGTGCACAACTTGCCAATTAACAATACACATTCCCTCCTCATTTTATCTGAACCAACAAGTGGTTCACTTGTAATCTCTAGTAGATTTTTTTGTTTTGTTTATTGACTAGGGACAATAGTAATTTATCTTGGATTAATAGTTTGACAGGGCTTTGTCGGCCATTAAAACACGATAATTCTGTCATGTTTGCCAAAGGTCGTTGGGTAGTAAGCCACATATCAACTGTACCTAGCAAGCTGTCTGCATAATGACTCAACAATTAGGGTGTGTATGTGGCGATATTTTACATTATTACACAGGCTTATAGAATGTATCGAGAGTAAATAGATACATTGAAAGTGCCCCGCCCCCTGCCATCTCATTTTCGTTTTAGAAAAATTGCTAGAAAATAGATTAAAAGTTATTTCTCTGTTAAAAATAAAATTGGCATAGTGGTAAAGGCTACAACAAAAAAAGATGAGAAGCAGCTGCATGCATTGCGGATCCATCTTGAAGTAATGTAGTGGCATTGCCACAACACCTAGCATATACTTTAGAGACATGTGCAAACAATCGTTTTAAGCGATTCGGCAGAATAAAATTTCTGGCAATTGTCGAATAAATCCATTTTGAAAATGTGGTTTGTTTATGAACGAACTGCATCAGAATCATCCAAATTAACATGCTTTTAAAAAGTTTGAATAGTTTGTGAAATAACCAAAATGTCAGAATCGTTTGGTTCGACAATTGCCAGAGATCTGACGAATTTCTTACAAGGATACTATAGTCACCAGAAGCACTACAGCTTAATGTAGTTGTTCTGGTGTCTACAGCATGTCCCTACAGCCTCAGCCAGTGCTGACTAGTTACACCCCTATTGGCAGTCACTCAGACGGCAACTAGAGGACCTTCCTGTGCGTTCAACATCTTCATGCTCTTCATGGAGGCACTGAACATTTGCCATAGACATGCATTGCATCTGTATGAGGAGATGCTGATTGACACAGCACGGCTTTTTGCCACGCATACACAATAGCGCCCCAATGCTTTCCTATGGGGAAGCATTGTATTGGCTGAGATCATCAAAATCGAT